ACAACATTCACATTAATGAGACCAATCACAGACAACTTTCACGTTAATGAGACCAATCACAGACAACTTTCACATTAATGAGACCAATCACAGACAACATTCACGTTAATGAGACCAATCACAGACAACATTCACATTAATGAGACCAATCACAGACAACATTCACGTTAATGAGACCAATCACAGAGCTAAAGATCGTCCGCACTGTGAACCGTCTCAGACCATTTAGAGAAATTCTTCACATATGTATGATTTAAGCTGTATTTGTGAAAATGATGGATTTTTGCAGCCGACAGTTGGTCCACTTTAGGGCTGTCCTGACAGACCTGTATCACCGTTAATCGTGATGTAAAAAAAAAATGAAATATTGACATATTAATCATATACATGATAATATGGTGTAAATAATACAGTACCTCTGAAATGGTTACAGACCATCTCCATCTTGTATTTTGAAGCAAACATTTGCAAAAAATGTGAAAAATCAACCAATAAACAAACTTAAAGATGAATCTGACTGATAGCATTCTTACCATTATTAAAAACATTCTTACATGGAGACAACACCGTTATAAATTATTTTGGCCCCCCGATAATTGTGGTGTGAAAACCTGATATTGGTTTATGACAGACTGTACTACGAGCAGGGGACTCATGATGCACCAGTGTTGACGATAACTGTGATATTTTAAAAATGAAATATTGATATGTTTATGACAATATCATGTAAATAATTCAGCGCCTCTTAAATGATTACACAATCTCACTTCCTTAGTTCATTTGTCAAAAAAGAGACTGAAATGTTCTATAGATATCCCAACAGCATCATTATTATGAATTGTTTTGGTCGTGATAATAGCGTAACATAAATCCTGCTCACACACTTGTTCTGGAGCTTTGGACAGTGTCATAAGTGGACCTTATTCTGTCAACTCTGGATCTGTTAATGAATTCTCCTCACACGTGTTGTTCTGCTCCCCTGTTATTGGTGCCATCTGTTGTTATTGTGCAGCCCACTGTATGCAGGTGAAGGCACAGGTCTTAAAGAGAAACAGTTGCTGTCCAGCAGGAGGCAATACACCCTCAGTGAGTAACCCTGACATGCTGTGTCATATCCTCATCACTCACTGATTAACGCTGCAGCTCTGTGCCAGCAGAACTAATCTGTACACTGGTGAAGAACAACACATCCCTGCTCATGTCCACATTCCCACACTGCACTGTGTGACCTGATCTACAGCACGTTACACTGTAGCACTCACTTTATGGACTCCAATTCATAAGCAGCTGCTCTTCTAAAGATAAACTCTAAGTGGACAAATGCTACAATATGCTGCAGAACACAAGAGCCCTCTGAGTCTTTCAACACATGCACATAGTGAACCACACCAACTGCTTTTCAACGTCGACACTCCTCTTTTAGTGGACACTATTTCCACTCATGTCACTTAAGCACATGCTGAGCCGTTGGGCTAACCAATATAGAGCTGCCTCAGGCCACGTCCACACTACTCCGTTTTTGTTTGGAAACTCATATGTTTTGCTACATTTACACTGAGCGTCCACACTACGCCGGCGTTTTCGAGCACCGAAAACGGAGGAGTTTGAAAACGTCAGGGTTGCATATTCGTGTGGACAGTCGAAAACGGATACGTTTGGAAACGATGACGCCCACACGTTCGCTACTTGATTGGTTCTTAGCAGTCATGTCCTTCCCTGATTCGTCACAGCTATCAAGTGACCGATTCCCGAAAGTCAAACAACAACATTGATTACCGAACGACTACCAGGTTAATTTAACATGAACAACTGATTACAGATGTTGCTGACCTTGTTGTCTTGAAACAGCTGTTGTGCAGTTAAAGTCTGCACTAGTACGGAGGAAGCAGCTGTTATTGGAGCGATTAGTGAGCTGCGTGTCCAGCGGCGTTATCAGCCCTACGGAGCGAGCGTCTGAAGTCACGGTTTGCGGCTTTAGGGAGGGTGATGGACACAAAACGGAAGACTTTCCTGTCCTTATTAACGCTTATTTTGTTCTACACATCTATTGTGAAGTCCGCAGATAAAATGTAAAAGGAACAAAAGCAGTAATTTCTCTCCAGTAGGACAGAGACTTCAGCCACCAGCAGAGCTACGAGTGAGAACAGACAACACCACCACCGAGGGAACGAGTGAGAGACCTGTGAATTTGATGTGAGAGAGAGATAGAGCAAAACCCGCAGCGCTGTAACTAACGTCAAGTCTGAAAATAAAACTTCCCACGAACTGTGTCTGTTTGAGTTTATAGAGGAAGATTTTAGAGAAGATCTTAAGTATCAAACACGACCTTTCATTATTAAAGACTACTTTATTACTCTGTCGTATTTTTTTTAACTTAGCAACCAATCTACTTCCTGTTTACATCGGCAACCACGTGCATGCCCAGTGTACGTGATGAGTCACGTGATATTCATTTTCAGGCGTGTTAGTCTGGACGGAGATCAATTCGAAAACGATGCTGAAACGCCGTGTGGACGGAGATCGCTTTAGTTTTAAACGGAGTCGTGTTGATGTAGCCTCAGAGCTCGTGTACGCTGAAGTGATGAAAGCCTGGCCGGCTGTCTGAAGGGAAACACACCGTTTCACTAAATGCATCCCATATTAAAACAAAGTCAATTTGGGAAAAAAGGACTTTAATAGATATTTTAACAATATTTAAAACCATTAATTTACTAATGATTTAGCCGAATGTATTCCATAACTATGAAGTCAACACCCTCTTAAGAATAATTAAGAACACTTTGTATTTCAAAGCCTCTATTGAGGGTTTTTTAAGTGAAGCTTGGAATGCCCGTCACATTTTATGACACCAAATAAAAATAAAAAATAAAATAGATAGTGTTATTGTGGTTCCATAAACGTAATTCATGTGCTGCTAGACTGCTGTTAGTCGGATGCTTGCTGGTCAGCAGGAGAGCAAACAGTGAAAATGTTGTTTCAAAAGGCTAAATGGCAACAAATAAGGACTGAAGCTGAACGTTTTGTTAGATAAAAATATGAATTTTGGAAATGATTACATCCATCTTTTATTTAATAATTCTTAAGTTTACAAAACGCTCTTTGAGTTATTAAAAATGTTCACACAAGTGAGGAACAATCGTACGCAGCCACCACTGGATTCTAGTTCTACAAATAGTAGAATACTGACAGTGGAGCCTGATCTTTATCTGAAACTGCAGGAATACCGGCTTTAAACAGAATGAACTGACATGCAAAAATAAGAAACACTTCATTTCTGAATGTCAACATCATGAATTATGCTTCCAACTTGTCGGTGCAGCACTAACACAAGTATGAAGTAAAGGACTCTGGGTGGAAGTCTGTGCTGGTTCATCACTTTCAGCCTCGTTTCTTGGACATGTCACACTTATGGATGACTGGAGATAAATTGCGACGGGTCTTATTGGACAAATACTGTGGGCCTCGTCCTCCACCTGTTTCCTTTGTTTGCTTCTGGTCTGCTGTATTGTGTTTTAGCACCAACTTTAATATCAAACCTTTTCTTTTTTTTTTTTTTTACCTGGGCCACAGTCCGTATCCTAGGAGACAACATTCACCATCATTGTGGCTCCTGTGGAAACTCTTCACAGAAGTGTTTCTGCCTCCACCTCGCGCAAAGTCAACTAAACCTAAACTTTAAACTAATTTAAACTATTTAAAACTTTAAACAGTAAGTAAGAACATGCACACATGAGGCCCATGAGGGCCAATGACTATTTGTCAAGGAGTGTTTCATGCCAACGGTTGGACCTGAGCTGCTCCACTGAACAGTAGAAGCACGCACGCACGCACGCACGCACGCACAGTTATTGTTGCTGCAGTAGAGTAGAAACTGCATGTGTGGGTACGTGAACAGCGCTCGTTAGTCTTCTCATTAGCATAATCCCCAATTTACCCTGAGTATTAATGCCACTTCAATCCCATGATCCTCCAGGACACGGAGGGGAGAGACAGAGACGGAAACTCACACTGGTGAGCTCTTGTTGCCATGGTGAAGGGTCAGCCACAATGTCACCAGAGGGGCCAATCCACTTTTCCAATGTGTGTGTGCGTGTGTGTGTAGAGAGGAGGTGGAGAGTGTTTACTTTTGATAAAGGCGCCTTGCGGTGTCTGTGGACTGTCACAACAACACATGTTGCTTAATACAGAGTGCTTCATTAAAGGAGCATTCCTCTGATGTTACACATGATGATGATGGGTACTACTAGAAATTATAAAAACTGTTTTATTATGTCTTCTGTGGCTCTGAGGGAGGAGCTTAATTAAGTCTGGAACAATACCCATGATGATGTCATAGTGATGAGGGATGGGTATCGTTAGGATTTGATCAATACTAGTACTCTCATCGATTACTCTTATATTGTGAGAAAAAAAGATAATTAATAAACAAAATGAATCGACATTAGTCTTTCTTGAGCAGCAATGCAAGAAGTTCCAAAATCTTTAAAATACATTCACAGCCAAACAATTAGCTCAGTGATTATCCCCAGTTACAAACTGAGCACTGAGCATCAAACACATGATGCATCATGGAAAGTGTAAGATCCAGTGTTTTTGGATCTTGACCCAAACTTGGAGCTGAAGTCAGGGGATCTCTGCTTCTGCTCTCGATTCTCAATTCTGAGCAGCTTTTAAATCTGTGTCTCAAACTTTATGAACGCGTAATATTTAATGCTACAATACCCTTTAGAAGTGTTTGATTAGTATAGTCATAACTAGTCATAGTACCATTATCAGCTGGGATTAAGGTTGTCCTCTGTTTTATCACGTGATGCAATGTTGCTGGGCTACCTTGATGTGAACTGACCAACACTGCATTAACTGTCAATGGGACATGAGTGTAGAAGAGTCTCTTCACCAGTCTAAACATACATGATGTATTCTACAGTAAAGAGAGACATGTGACGCAGGTCTCTGCCTAGAATCGATCCACCGACGTGGCAGTTACAGTATGCGCTGTAACTAAAAGTTACAAATGTTTTATAACACGTGTGTTTTGGAGTTTAACAGTGCAGTCTTGAAACAGGAAACACATGAAGACAGACGGAGTGCTTCACAACACTGTCCAGAACTTCTAATCTGCTACCAGGAATGTCCAGAGAGAATCAGTGGGGCTTTTCCAGGCCACTATCTGTGTGTGTGTGTGTGTGTGTGTACTAACCTCCTCCTCCTCCTCCTCTGATGCTCTCTCTGACACTGGCTCAGGAAGAGGTCCTACGGGGGAAAAGAAGAAACTTCATCCATATTTACTCCAGTCGGTTCAAACCAGATGTCTGATCATTATGTTCCTGATCTTTTTACACTGCTATGGTAAACACACAAGCGTCATCTTTTACAAAGCCACAGTGTGATCGGTGTGTGTGAGAGCGTCCGTGTGTCATACCGCTGACGTGTTCCTCCGTGGGCAGGACGTTGCATCTCTTAAAATAGTCGTCGGCCTCGGCGTCCACCAGCAGCAGCGTGGTCTCGTCTCCTCCCGCCTTGATGGCCGCGACCACCTCCGAGTGCTGCATGCCGATCACTGTCATGCCATTGACCTGAGGCAGGAGAGAAGAGGAGAGAGGAGACAGGAGAGTTCACTCTCTGACTCTTGCTACACTGGATGTGTGTTTTTCCACACAGTTCTAAAGCGCCAAGTCTCCAATTATTTTGTCAAAGACAGATTGTGGTCACAAGGTGTTGCAGTTCAGAAGCACTTCAGCTGGAACAAACCTACACGTGATCAGACGAGCTACCAGCTCTGATGATGTACAACTGGTGACTGGTGACAGTAAAGTAAGGAGCTGTTCAACATTAAAGGGAATTACTAAATAGCTGCAATAGTTCTAATTGTATAAACTGTTTAATTAATGACTAAAAGTCATTTCAACTCTCTTTTTTGGTCATTATATACATTTCTTTTTCCTAAATGCCCTTTCTCAAACGTCTGTCATCTGTTTGGAGACTTACTAATAATCACCACTTTGCATCATCACTGACAGCAGAACACACTGGAGGGCAAATATATTGCACTGTATTGTAAATGTAGTGTGTTTGTCCATCTAGCCTCAGAGGTTTTCTAACTGTAGGGTGAGTTCAAAGTCAAAACTCACATGATACACAGACTTTTAGCTTCATTAAGAACCCGGCTCTACCCATCAGCTAACTGGCAGTTGGTGAGTCTGCTGAGAGGCTGGAGCAACGTGATGGGCTGAAAGAGGATCATTCATTTAATCATGTCCTATTCATATATTTAATACTGAACGCTGCTCTCCATAGCTTAGAGCGGGACATGTTCTCACATTAGAGTTATTGGTAACTATAGTGTACTCGGCCTTTTCTATTCTTTTTCTATTTAAGATAGCATCAGAGGCAGCATTACAACTATGTGACACTACAGCTGATCACATAATAACAATGACTAGCACTCCAAACATTGGCCATAAACTATAAGGTATCACTGATTATTCCCACTAAGTAAGTGAATGATGATGTTTTTGGTGTGGCTGTGGTGAAACGTAATGACCGTGATGAGGACCAACAGGAGAGTGATGGTTCCAGTGATGGAGAATGTTTGGTAACTGTGTTGTTACAGAGGGTTACAGGTATGCAAGCACACTCCCACAGATGGAACTAATCATGCCTCCTGGGAGATAAGACACTGAGGAATTCCTGTGGGAGGAAGCTCCGAGGTGGGAGTGCCCTCATCTCTCGGTCTCACCAACTCCCCACTGTGGGTGTGAACGTTGAACAGGTGGTACGGCTGTATTCCACTCCAGTGGACCCCTCCACAGAAACATTCATTCAATTCCAAGCATCTCGTTTCCCGAAATCTACCTCTAAAAACCAGTTTAAAGTTTCTATCTCATGGTGAATACAGCATGTAGAGATGTGGTCTTCTCCACAGCCCCCCTGCCCCGCCCCGCAGTCTGAGCAGGCAGCGATGCAGCCCTCAGACGCAGTAAGTGGATTAACTCTGACCTCGCCACAGTTAACATGGACAGAAGGCCTGCTCGTCACACAAACAAAGCGGGGGAGAAAGAAAACATACAGTATTTACACACACACACACACACACACACACACACACACACACACACACACACGTTTTGCCTGATACTGTGCGTCTGTTTTATTTAGTTTGTATGTGTATCAGCTGTAATCCTATTACATCAGTGGGGAAGCTGAAATCCAGAGGTGCATGTGTGTGTGTGTGTGTGTGTGTGTGTGACCTGGAGGAGGAGGGAGTGTGTGTGTGTGGCGTACCTGGACGAGCTTGTCCCGCTGTTTCACGCCCACTCTCTGTGCCGGAGAGTCGTCGTCCACCGCTCGGATGAACTGGCCCGGTTTGGACTTCTCGCTGTGCAGGTTGAAGCCGTAGCCGCTGGCTCCCTTCTTCATGTGGCAGAGACGAGGCCGCGGCCCGCCTCGCTCCTCCTGCACACAGACAGGAGAACATCCACCGTTCACTGAAGGGTGTGAGCAGGTCCCTCTCTATTTAATGTCAATAATATACATCCATGTGGACTTCAGCAGTATTAATAACACTCACTCCTGTGTCCCCAACGGCTGCTGAGATTTCAGACTTTCTAGAAAGTTTGATCGCACAATTGTTCACAATCTTAAAAGACTTGTATGACGTAATCGGTTACAGAAACACATCGATCTGCATAACGTTTAGCTCCACCCTGTTTGGGGGAAATCCACGCTTTGACGGCGAGCAACCATTCTCTTGTGACGCTCCATCAAAGCGTGGATTTCAGGGTGGAGCTAAACCATTCTCTTCAGTGTGGGAGAACACGGAGACCCAACAATGTGTTGCTGTGTAAATTCGGAAAATTGGAAGTGGGCTGGCTTATCGCAGCGGTAAATCTGGTCTGCACAAACACTTTTCAGAAAGAGAAAAATCATCCCCAAGCGCTTTGTCAAGACGGCAGCAGGGACAAGACAGCACTGATACATGAGGCCTACAAACACATACACAAAGGGTTTCTGTCGGTGGTAATCTGACCGGTCGAACCCTCTCCACTCATTCTGCAGCTGCTCTAATAAAGGCAATAAAAGACACAAAAATATCTTTTAAAAAAACAAAAAAACGTTCTGGTAACGTAACGTTACACCATGCGTCATCTGACATTGTTATTTGGCTGTTTTATATACGACAGACTTTATTTTTATTTTCCAGTGATCATCTCATCATATTACTCCAGTGACGATATCATAACCATTAGAAGTGTTAGGTCAAGTACAATCCCTGCCTCTCCAGTTCAGGAGGAGGGTTGCTGTGACACACGGTGATTAAACTAAGTTGTCACAGCAATCCTCAGAATCAGACAACACACAGCAGCAGCAGCAGGGGGAGAGGCCGGTGAGCACAGGACCGTTTGGGATTAAAGGACGTGACACATGCTACTTAACGGCTGCTTTCGCCCAGTGCCATGTCCATCCATTTTAGTGCAATTAATCTTAGATTTCTCCGATGCGGGGGGGGGGGGGCTCTTCCATGTGTTTTACGTCAATCTGAGATCCCACACCAACACAATCAATACAGGTTTGCTGTAAATGACGAGCTATGGACGTCACGTAACTTCCCTATTTACACAACGGGCGCACAATGCTCATTTGACAAACGGCATTGAGTCAGACCTGAAAAAGCACAACATGAGGTCATAAACATGCACAGGCAGAAACAAAAGTCAGCTGACTTCCTTTACCAACTGAATGAATCAGCAGCAGGTCTCTGCTAATCCTGCGGTGGCCTACTGTAGACCTGGTTATGTGTCTAATCCCACGTGAAGGACCTCACTTCAGCTGTTAACATCAGAGCACTGCTGCATGAGCTCCGGCTTTATTACAGGACTACTGGAAATCATTGCTGAACGGAATCCTATTACATAAGCTCCATAAAGAAGGCGTCGACATTTTCCAATACGCCAATATCACTTTTATTCTTCCTAGTGTTGTTGCTGCCAATTGTACTTTAAACTTGCACAATCGAGATAATTAGATAGTTTCACACTCGTTTGGCTGTGAACATTGTAGATGTGGTCCAGCCTGGTGGATGTGTTGCAGACATACAGGCAGAAAAGAACATTCTGGGATACTATTATTATTTCACCTTTTCTCAGAGTGATTTGTCTTCCACAGCCTCTAAACTAGCCTGATAGACAGAACCGTCCACTCGGTGGACGGCACGGATTCAACCTCCAAACCCGTTTACAGCCAACACGTGCACCGAGCAGTTATAACAGGCGTGACCAATCGAGGCTCTGATAAAATGCACCTCATTCACGTGATAAAAAGCACCGCTATCTACAGCGTTGTCACATATCTGTAAATGATTCCCTGCAAAGTGACCATTTCAGATCCACCGTGATAACCTCAGCGTTCTCAAGGCGTGTCCCCACCTCGCCCACTCAGAGTGGACTCTGCGTCGGTCCGAGGGTTTCTGTGGAGTCGGGGCGGTTGATGATTGCTGAAATGCTCTGAGTGAGTCAGTGTGATCTTGGGAGGACCTTTGGATGGAATCATTTATCATCATCATTTATGACAAAGCCCACATAAGCAGTGGCTGAAGACGATAAGGGAACAGGTGAGGTGCAAAGTGCACCGCATGCCAATCAAGTTTTCATGTAATCTGCAGCATTCGCAGCATGCAGTACTCCACGCTCCGCTCTAATATGGCACGGAACCTGTGGAGACACTGCAATTACCAACGTTATCAACGTTATATAAGCAGTCAGCAGGTTTGACACACGTTATGTGGGGAATACTTCATGTCCTGCATTCTGGTGAATTACTGCATCAATTTATTGTGGAAATGTTTCATCAATTTCTTATTTTATTTTTTCAAAGTATAAAATGACTTTAAGGCTCTCAGGTATTCTGTTTTGCTTTCAAATATTTATTATTCCCTGCTGAGTCAGCACATGTAGGAATGATTTACTTTCCCTCCTCTCTCTTGTGTCTTTTGTTTGGGGAAGTAAGCTCTTTAAATGTGCATGTGGCACATTTATTAATACATTCATTAATTTAATTACATGTATAAGCCCCTGGCCTTTATTAGCTCAAATGTGTTTCAGCAACATTTATGCTCATCTTCAAAACTTTAGACACATTCAAGACGTATCCCACCTATGTATTAATAAGGTCATAACATTTTGAGAATAAAGTTGTGATATTTGTAAGACTAAATTTTGTAATTTATTGATAATAAAGTCATAACAGCTGCTGTGCATTATGTTACTGCTCTGTTTCTTCAAACTCAACATCTGAAGAGACGTTGTGCAGATGTTCAGGGAGACTAAAGATCTAATTGTTGTTGCTGTTATCTGCATTATTTAGTAAATTTTATGAAAAAATGACAATGCCTCTGTAAGTTATTAAAGATAATATTTGTAAGCCAACGTTATGAATGAAGCATTAAACTGTTGGGGAGGCCTCAGGGTCCTAGTTGAAACGGACAGTGTGAAACATATTACACACTTGCAAAGTAAAAGTTAAAGTAAAAAGTCTTCAGGTGATCAGCTTGAATTGGAGGAAGATAATGGATGCTGTGCTTTTACATTAGTAGTAGTATTAGTGCGTGCAGTGCACTCATCTGAGCAGCTGGTTTATCTGCAGTGGTACTTTGACCGGCCGGGACAAACGGACAATAATAAATCACTTAATTATGGAAAATTTACAACGAGCCCCCGATAAAGAATTTGACACAGACGGCATTTCATAAAGTTTCCCCTAACTCGACAACTCACAAAACGGCGTGATTTTTAAGAGATTTTAACCCTTTAAATGGTGGTGATGTCACGACACTGTACACGTCCTTTGGTCATCTTTGATGGACAGACATTATATTCAAAGACGTAGCAGCATCGTTAATCAAGCTGATGCACGAAAGAAAATATCGAAATATGTTTATGATGGAAATTTCAAATCCTTTGTGGACATGTATTTTTGATACAATCAAACAGTGTATATTTGTGGCTGTATGTGCAGGTCTATGGTGACTCCCTCTGCATCAATTCAAGGAATCGAGGACTCATCTTTGATCCGGATACGTCCTTTAACTCCCACTGTAGTGCAGAATGCTAATCTTAACTATTACTAACATGTTCTCTCGCTCTCTCTGAAACATTCCAATCACAGCGTGTCATCTCAAAGGCATGTGAAAACATGTCGAAGTTGATTCTGACGCCCAACAACAAATGACATTTGTGACGTGTACCTTCAGCCTACTGCTTTGGGATTTGGCCTCCAGCTCAAACGGAGACGGAATCTAGCCCGTCTGCATGCTTATGGTCTGCAGCAGTGAACACAAACAATACGAAGAAGACCCTCGGAGCGAGTGGAAGACAGACAAAGAATTCTTTCACATCAGTGGAACACAATGCATGCTGCATTTCAAGAGACATTTTGAGTACTACTTTCTGACTTTTTTCAGGGTTTCAAGACACGCACAGGAAAACCACAGTGTCAGCAGAGCCGCACAGCAAACCAGTCTCAGTGACAGCCGGTGGCGTTTGATAATGACACTGCTGGGTAAAGTCCCACTGAGTGTCTCCAACATGCCGGCAATGAAACAAGGTTTGTTGCAACAGCAAACATCCGCTACTGAAGGTAACCGTCAGAGATGAAGCTTATCTGAGATGTCTGGTGATGGGCCCACGGTAACAATATGATAAACCAATGACCCCTGCAGTGGAAGACTTAGCGGCACAGAAATCAGCCGTGTTGGCGTGCGGCGCCTCGTCACACACATGCTGTTGCGAGTCCAGTGGAACATACCGTATCTATACGTCAACACATCCATGAAAGAACACAAACTACAACGTGTCGCGCTCATACGTTTACCAGCTCACGAGGTTTCAGGAGCTCAGCCTTTCAGAAAAATAAAAACTTAATATAAAGAAATAAATCTAAAAGTGTGAAAACCAAAACTCGTCTGTGCACATATGCATGTCATTTTGGGGGTTGGGTTGCTTGGGGTACCATGACAAAAAATTTCTCGACTGCACAAGACAAGCACACTAAACAATGATTCATTGCTAAAAACAGGCCCCCAGTAAAATCTCCTGTTTGGAAAACAATGTTTAATGTTTGCCTTTTTCAAGCCTGTCCTCTGCAGAGAGGTGAAAGGTCAACCACAGAGCACTGGTGGGGATTCTGCACAAAAGGGACCAGAAAAAGGAAATATCGGTTGCAGAGATCTGGCTGCGGGCCCAGTCGTGTGCCTGTGCAAACACAGAAATAACATCTGGCTTGGGATCTGCTACAAATAGCCACCGTGTGAACGCAGGATTTAGCCTATTTAAGTGCGATGGTACAAGAGGCAGCAGGCAGCCGGTGTAAACATTCCCTAAGCTTGTTGAATATCAGAGGTTAATGGTTTTACAGCTTGCTGTAGTTAAACATCAGATCCTGTGCTCCGATCCTGTCACATAATGAGGACCTTGAACCGAGGCTGAAACACTAAACCATTTATGTGCCATTTGAAACCTTTATGACGATCTCTGGGCACAATTCTACAGAGAGAAAGGGCTACGTCTCAAACAAAGTGTGGGAGAACTGAAGGAGCCATTTCTGTAGAACCGCCCATACAGATTGTCCTCAAACACGTCAGCGTCTTAAACTTTTTTGCTACAGTCCAAGCATTGGGCTTGTGCAACTGAATTTATCATTGCCTTTGCTGAGTCCCGCCCCTGTAACACAGGCTGACCAATCATAGCGGGGCAGGCGGCTTTGACCAGGGACCAACCAACTATCCGGATCTGTTGTCATGCAATGGTTTCAGATTAATCTTGATTTTTTTTAGGCTGGTTTAGTTGATTTGGAGCTAGTCGTGGTTGAACGTTGTGTGATCGTGATGCTCGTTACCCTGAGAGGTTGGAAAGTGATAGTCTTAAACGTTTCTGTGTAAAAACCTGTGGAGCCAACGATGGCAGGGAATGCTACCACTGAATCAGCTAGCGTTAGCACTTCTATGCTACACGAGCTACTCAAGATATACCGAGTGTAAACACATGCTGCTAGAGTTGAAAGACAAATAATTCCTTCAAGAAACTGCTCACAACAAGGTCTGTGGATTATCTTGAGTATCAATAGTCACGATTTCTGGAAAGAGACATGCTGTCTATTGCTGGTTTACATAATACATAACTACACAGACCTGCATGTAGCATTATGGTTATTATTAACTGGCTGAGACAAAAAACACAATGTGGCTTCAGCACTATAGCAACTCGCTACAAGGACAGGAAGTGGTTTCATCATCGGTTCCACCCCAACAGCTAACAACCCATATGCTGATAAAGTGTGTGTGTGTGCATGCATACAGGAGTGGCCTCGACAAAAGAGTTATGAAAAATGAGTTCATATACCACTCAGAAACTCAGCAGCCTCTGATGAAGGATGTGTTCTAATAAGTGCAACAGCAATGTGACGGGCAGAGAACAAGAGTTGGTACTAAATATGGGT